CTTTTATTCAATTCTTGGGAAGAAGAAAAAAAAAACCTTTTCCTCCCTGAAAGGCCTCTTAATGTACCAATAACAAACAATACAAATTACTTAGTATTTTTATATAAAACTGCTGGTCCAAAATCTGTATTTTGGAAAGAGCAGAAAGGAAAATCTCTGTCCTTTAAAGGTTTCCACACACAGAAATACCTCGTCTTTTGTCCCAGGCCCTGTTTCACTGATTTTTTTTGATATCAAATTCATGTTTGCACTATATTTGAATTTGTCTTCAAAATTAGTTTTATAAAACAAATTGAGGCAAGGGGACAGGACTTCCTCTGCGCTTTCATTATAAGCAGCCTGGAAGAGGAACTGGTTAGTATACATCCCGCCAAGGATATCCACATCCAGTCCAAACACTCTCGCCAATGGCTTTTCATTTTAATCCCATAAGCCTTTGCAAGGTTACAGGGGTGCCTTGGAAATTATGATTAACCAGAGTGCTCGGAACCAGCAGTGGGGAAATGTGTTGTAAATTCTACGAGACCTTGGGGTCACTCCCATCCAAGAAGGAGTGTTATTACAGAGTTTACCATTTCTACTCTTTCCTCTTCAAAAATATGCTGAAAAGAACACGGAGATTTACTAAATACTCCTCCCAAGACAGTTGCCTCTCCAGTCCTTTGAACAAGACCAGCTGGGAGGCTATTCTGGCTTTCCCATGAGGTTCTTGAGGAGCTGTGTATTATTAATTAAAGTGGCTTTTAAATGGTGATTGAGCTACATTATCCAAAATGGGATTTAACTGAGATAATATACATGAAAATGCTTTGTAAAGTGAAGGTTATATAATTCACAGGTGTCATTACAGCCTTGCCAGTCAGCCTCACTGAATGCCCTGGGTCATTGACTTGAAAGTAAGTCAGTGTGTGGGAAGCACCTCACCTGGCATGGGGAAGGGAGGCAGACCCAGCATGCTAGCACCCCCCCTAGTGGCTCTTCCCCAGAGCAGCAACTTTTAAAGCTCCTCCCAACCCAGCCTGGCAAGGGAAATTATCCAGGGACATACTTACTCCCTTAAACTCTGACTGTCTTTGTTAAGATTGTAGACCTGGAAATAAACATTTACTTGTGTGTACTTTATACCATCCCAGGTTCAGCGAAGGAAAATTATATCCTGCCCCTTTCCGTAATTTGTGCTGCAGCAAGATGGAGAGCAATTTGTGGGCCCCAAATATGAATCCCCTCTAAAATCATCTACTGCCCTAGTATTCCTTCAGCTGTTCTT